ATGCCCTTGCCTGGAATCGAACCTGGGACCCTTAAGTCCGCAGGCCGACGCTCTATCCACTGAGCCAAACCATTTAGGGCAACTATTTTTAAACATTATGAATTATTTAATACATAAAGTTTCAAAGAACACAGGGATACCTTTGTCCACCACAAAGCTTTATCAACATAGTTGATGCTCCTGGATTTTCTTTTCTATTTGCATCCTCCTCTTTCCCCATCCTACATTTAATGCTCATCTTCCCATGCATGTTTTCACACTTTTAGTGCTTCTGAGTAATTGCCTTTTTCTTTTTCTATCTCCCCCGCTGTTATGGAATGAATGTTTGTGTCCCCTCACATTCACATATTGAAGCCCTAACACCCAGGGTTTGCATTTCCAGGCGGGACCCCTAAGAAAGTTATTAAGCTGAGTAAGGTGATAAGAGAGGGGCCCTGGCTCAACAGGATGGATGTTCTTAGAAGAAGATACACCAGAGAGCTCACTTTTTCTCTCTGTCTCAACTCCTGCACATGTGCAGAAAGGCCATGTAAGGACAGGTGAGAAGGCAGCCATCTACAAGCCAGGAAAAAAGGCTGGCCCAGATGGACCTTCATCTGGGATTTCCAAGCTTCAGAACTGTGAGAAAATGAGTGGGGGTTTTTTGTTTTGTTTTTTTAAATATATATTTTATTGATTTTTACACAGAGAGGAATTGAGAGGGATAGAGAGTTAGAAACGTCGATGAGAGAGATACATCGACCAGCTGCCTCCTGCACACCTCCCACTGGGGATGTGCCCACAACCACGGTATGTGCCCTTGACCGAAATTGAACCCGGGACCCTTCAGTCCGCAGCCGACACTCTATCCACTGAGCCAAACCGGTTTCGGCAAGAAAATGAGTTTTTGTTCTGTAAGCCAATCGGCCTGTGGCATTTTGTTACGGCAGCCCGAACTGACTAACACACCCATCATGCTCGATGTGAACTTGGTGAGCCAGGGAGCATGGGTGTTCATCTCTGTGTCTGCAGAATCCCTCGCTGTGCTTGCCACATGAGAGCTCATCAAATACTTGTTGAAGGAAGTCACTGCAGAAGCAAAACAGGTGGCCTAGGGCCCAGTCCCCGAGAGCGGGCTGTTCTCTGCTGTGCCATGATGCAGGTCCTCTTCACGCTGCTGCCGAGACCAGGATCTGCAGGCAGCTCCCAAGGGAGGAAATTGAGAAGGAAGAGAAAGGCGTTCCCAGGAATGAGGTGGAGAAAGTGGTGGCATCTTAGGAAAAAGTTGAAGTCGTTTCATCAATCAATCAAATGCGTACTAAGTACCTACTTAGTAGGCATCCAGTGTTGAACAGCCTCCATTTCCGGAAGGCAATCAAAACGGAACAAAGGCCAGGGGGTCCAGAGATGCTCCAGGAATGAGCAAGCACAATGCATTGGCCTCTGTAATGGGCATGTTCTTGGTTCAGACACGTGGGAGGATCCATGGCGCTTCAATCGGAGAACAGGAAACCGAGAGCATGCCTTTCCTTATAAAACAAAGCACATCCTCCGCACAGCCTGGATTCGATGGTGCTTACGCTCATAAACCCTTGTGCATCGATAAGGGACTTCCCTTCTCAAGTCACTGCTCTGACTTTTAAGGTTCTCCAGGGTGAGGAGGCAGCAGTCTCAAGGAGCCGGCTTCTAGTCCCTTGCTAGGCATGCAACACACGCTCTCAACAGGATGGATGAGACAGAACCTTCCGTGACAGAGGATATCACCCATTATTGAACTATGCCAAACTACATTTTTTAAAATCTGTTTTTAAAATCACAGCACTCACTGAAACCGGTTTGGCTCAGTGGATAGAGCATCGGCCTGCGGACTGAAAGGTCCCGGGTTCGATTCCGGTCAGGGACACATACCTTGGTTGCAGGCACATCCCCGGTAGGGTGTGTGCAAGAGGCAGCTGAACGATGATTCTCTCTCATCGATGTTTCTAGCTCTGTATCCCTCTCTCTTCCTCTCTATAAAAAAATCAATAAAATATATTTAATAAATAAATAAAATCACAGCACTCATTGGGGGCAATAAAAAGCACCCTAAAAGTACATGGCACCATCTTGTTTTAAAGAAGCACAAAGCCTATTCTAGAATAGAAAGCAGTTCACATGCCATCGCTGTACATGCCAGTGTGGCCGTCGCTGAAGTTAAGTGGAGTTCAGAGGAGGGAGCACAGGGAAGGTAGGCCTGCCTGGGCCTACAAGTTGGGATGGAGTTTGACAAGTCTTACTGGGTTCCTCTCACAATGGCCCTCTCACAGAGAGTGGATTCACAACCACAAATTGCACCTGAACAGACAGAAGGGGAGCTCCCAGTTAGCGTTGAGAAGTATTAGGGAATCCCCATTGTCCACCTCAGAGACCAGCTCAGAAACGAAAACTAAACACCCAAGTGCGCAGTGTCCACACAACCAGAGTTGGAGGGGTTGGGAAGGACAGTAAGAGGAGGAAAAGGGTCTGAGTTAGGCACCACCACTTGGCATCCAGCTGAGACTGCTGAGATTAGAATCAGGAGCAGCCTTTTATCCCTCTGACAACACGGTGCATCTACCACAAAGCCCCCCAGTCTTGCCCCAGATACTGTGGACACTCTTGACATGGAACCTTCCATAAGGGCCTCTACCAGCTGGAGAACCAAGAAAATCCTTGAGGACAATGAGGAATATTCGGAGAAGAAAGCCTGGAGCTTACATGGTCCAATCCCACTACTTTTTAGATGGGCATCCAAGAACCAGAGAGAGAAAATGACTTGCCCAGGGTCACATAGTCAGTTAGAGCAGAGGCAAGGCTGACACACGGGTCTTCTGTGTTTTCTGAAAAAGTGCTCCAAGAGGAAGCTTCTGGAATAGTTCCAAACTGAAGTTGCTCTTCTCCTCCTGACCGATACCCTGCCCAGATATAACCCATAAAAGTCCTTCCCACCTAGTTCAAGAGATTGCTGAATTTCTAAAAGCCCGGGGGTTAGAGGGGAGGTTCAGTGAGGCTTCTCCTTTCCCTGTCAGGGAATTTGGAATAACAGAGAGTGGTTAAGCAATGGTCAGGATGCCACGAGAAAATCCTGCACTTCACACTCTCAGATGCCAAAGTTTAGATCTCTCCTAGGTCCATGGTCGACAAACTGCAGCTCTGTGGCCCCTTGGGTGTGGCTCTTCCACAAACTGCCATGACCTGGGTGAATCTAAGTTGAAGAAGTGGCGTTAGAAGAAGTTTAAGTTTAAAAAATTTTGGCTCTCAAAAGAAATGTCAATCGTTGTACTATTGATATTTGGCTCTCTTGACTAATGAGTTTGCCGATCACTGGACTAGGTGGTCCAATCTCTTCACTTTACATCTATAGAATACTTCACCCAACATTAGCAGAATGCACATCTTCTCAGGTGTACATAGAACATTTTACAGGATAGACCATATGTTGGGACATAAAATAAATCTCAATACATTTTTAAAAATTGGGATCATACAAAGTACTTTTTTTTTTTCCACAATCAATAAAAGGAGGAAATTTGAAGAGTTCACAACACACTCACTCCTAAATAATCAATGGGTCAAAGAAGACTCACAAGGGAAATTAGAAAATACTTTGAGATGAATGAAGATGAAAACACAACATATCAAAACCTATGAGATGTAGCTAAAGCAGTGCTTAGAGAGAAATTTAGAGCTATAAATGCCTATATTAATGAAAAAAAAAAGAAAGGTCTCAATAAAGAACCCAATCTTTCACCCTAAGAAATCAGAAAAAGCAAACTAAACCTAAATCAAGCATAAGTGAGGAAATAATAAAGATTAGGATGGAAATAGAAGAACTAGAGAATTTTGGAAAGAAGGAGAAAAATCAATAAAACCAAAAGTTAGTAAGGGAAAAGATCAGCAAACTTGACAAACCTTCAACTAGACTTACCCTGATACCAAAATCACACAAACGCAATACAAGAAAATAAACTACCTTTGGACATATATCACTTCTCTTCTACTATCCATCATCTGTCAGGGCCTCTCTTTGGTCAAACCTACCCAGAAGCCAGAGAGCAAAGCAGTTTGGGAATGTAGTTCCCTGTGACACTGGGCAGGGCCAGGAAAGGATGGAGACACAGCTCACACTGTCACTGGGCTCTGATTCCCCTGTGCGTGGTATTCGGTTTATAAATATTTATTGAATCAATAAATGGCCCCTATTCCCCTGCCCTGGGCTGGGCCCTTCTTTGTTTTTTTTGTTTGTTTGTTGTTTGTCTGTTTGTTTTTGTTTTTAATTTTTTATTGATTAAGGTATCACATATTTGTCCTCAACTCTCCATTCCAATCCCCTACTCCCTCCCACTCATGCTCCCTCCTCACTAATGTCCTTGACCGCTGGTTAGGCTCATATGTGTGCACATAAGTCCTTTGGTTGATCTCTCCCTTTTATCCCCAACCTCCCTTAGAGATCCAGCAGTCTGACCCATGGCTCCTTATCTCTGGGTCTGTTCTTGTTCATCAGTCTATGGTGTTCACCATTTCCCCTAGATGAGTGAGATCATGTCCTACTGGAAATATACTTATAAAACTCAAAAATGAGACAAGCAATAATGGTTATGCTGAAGGCATATGAATCAGTCTGTAGTGAGCTTCTTTCGGGGCCACCAGTTCTTTTGAGACCCAATTTCAATGTCAAACGGTTCCTTATGTGTACATGTCAGAAATGACATTTCAGTTTGGGCCCTTCTTTGTTCTGAAGGACTGCATGGGGGCTTTCTGAAAGTAAATGACTCAGTGATTCACGATCCTGTGACCAGCACATGGGCTGGCACTGGTTCACATCTCACATCCCTGGGCCCCTGTGAGGCTGGACTAGAGGGAGGAGCAGGTGTGGGAGGGGCAGAGAAGAGGGTGGCTCTTCTTCACGACTTAAAAGGGGCTCATACCACTTCCTCCCCAGACAGGGGAGTGCAAGCCGGGGCCCAGCCTTCCTGTGTGGTTTCAGCTGCCCTGCGCGAACCATGGACTTGGGTGAGTGGGGGCCTCCGAGTGGGAGAGAACAGTCCCCAGATTGACTCCGGGGAGTGGGGGTGGTGGATGGGGGTGGAAGGTGGGAAACCCTATCGAAGACATCTTGGTCTGCTTTGGTGGAAGTCAGAATGCCAGGCAGGAAGGGTGCGCCCTTCAGACCTAGGAGAGGAGGCAACCATTGGTACCAGGACAGACAGAGGGGTCGAGGTCATGTCTTTCCAGTACAGTGGGTCAGAAGAAGGTGCCGGGGCTGGGCTTGGCGCTGATCTGGACAGCACCTGTTCTCGCTTCAGGGGTTCAAGGGGGTGGGAGGGTGATGGGTGAGGCTCTCCAGACCTGTCTCACCAGGGAGAGGTCCTCAGGGAACTCCAGACCTTTCCCTCCCCCTCCGACTCCCACCCTACTGCCCTGCTGAGGTTAGGAGGAGGTGCAAATCCAAGGTGACTGCGTGCGTTGTGCAAATGGTACTATGCACGCCAATGCCAGCTGGTTGTTTCTCTGCGCCGCACATCCCACCAGCCTTGCTCGTGCCTCCTGCGTGAGAAAGGCTGGATGAGCAACATCAAATGGACCGGCGAGGGCCATTCAGCCCGGAGAAGTCATAGCCGGGGCCTCAGCGCAGTCACCTGCCTCCTTTAATCTCTGTTTCTACAAAGGACTCTTCCCTCTAAAAAGCCCATCCTCTCATCGAACCCTGCTCTTCACTAGAGAGAGCACCAGGGAAGCCCTGAGAGGTTGGGAGGGGTTCGGAGGGGTCCGTCCTGCTCCAGGTGCCCTGTTTGTAAATCTCAGCCATGGAGTCAGACCCTGCAGAGGTTACGCAGGCCAGGTTCCTGGATGGCTCGTTCTCAGTAGCAAGCAAGCGCCTCGGTGGCCTCAAAGCCACAAGCGGTTGGCTTTGAAAAGTGAAGGTTCCCTGCTGTCCTCACAGCCCTCGCTGCCACCACTGTCTCTGCCTTGCCTCCCCGCCTCCCCGCCTCCCCGCCCAGAAACCTGGGTGGACCCAGCAAACCGCTGTGACAGGGTTCGAGTGGCCACGCCGTGTATGGACTGGACTCCTGGAAGGCAGGGTCTGATTCTTGCATCTCTGAATCTGTGCTTTGGGGGAGGGAAGGGGGAGCAGAAAAATGTTTCTGGAATGAATGAATGAATGATTGAATGGTGTCAAGAATTCTGAGCTCTTTTTAGTGTTTTCAAAATCTCTTCCACCTTCCTCTCTCTCCTCCCAGCAACCTACCCTCTAATCCCACTCCCCAGCCATCGACCCCCTCACTGACCACAGACACAGGATGCAGCCTTCACCCACCACAGACCCTGCTCCTGCTTTACCTCTGTGAACGGAACCAAGCAGTAGTGGGCTGGGAAATGCTGGGAAACTGGCTCTGATTTGTAGTGCCTGCCAATGACCATGGTGTAAATTCCCCCTCCATCGCTGATTTCAGGATTCCCGCCAATATTAAACCATGGAATGACTGAACCCAGAATCGGAGAGAGATGGCACTGGCGAATGAGCCTATGACTGCCAGCACTCCACAGAGGGTCCTCCGCCAGGCCTCGGTTTGGGGGTCCTAGACTCCCAGGCTAGCTATGGGAAGGGAAGGCAACATCTGGCCCAAGAGAAAGGGATGCTCTCATTGCTTTGCTCAGTTAGAGAGAGCCCAACGGCCAAGCCCGAAACACTGATAGCTTTCGGTCAGAACAACCTTTAGACGGTTGGTGGGCAGGTCTGTTTTTCTCTCTTTTCTATCTGCCCGGCAGGGAGCAAGAGTGGGTGAGGGAGTTGAGTTTCTGTTACACAAAATGAAAATCCGGGCTGAGCTGGTCTTTTTCACAATTTGAATGAACAGCCCAGAGGTGCCCTTTCCACCTTTAAGAAATGTGGCCTGAGCTCTCAGAATTCTCCAAAACAGAGAAAAATAAAATAAACCTGCCAGAGACTTCTCTCTCTCTGCTTGGTCCAAGACGGCAGCAGAGGGGACTGCTGAAGGAATTCAGGGACCATCCCTCTTGGCCTCACAGGAGCTTGGCTGGGGAGGAGGGGGACGCTGCAGCCTAGAGGCACTCTGGGAAAATCTCTCTGCTTTGTTTGAGATTTCTCGATTCCTTTCGGTCAACTCTCATTGATTGAGGAATTCAGGCATGACCAGTCGCTGGGAGAAAGACATACACACCAATGCAATAGAATGAGATACAGTGCTGATGGAGTGATGGCTAAGGTGCTTATAAAGCTCAAAGAAAGAAATAGTGAACATGAGTCAGGGGAGCATTTAAGTTGGGTTTTGAAGGGTGTGTAGGAGTTAGTAAACCAGTGAAGGAGCAAGAGGCCAAGGATGGGACTGTGATAGTAGACTCAATTGCCATTAGAAACCAACAAGATGAATGTGGGAATGGCCATAAGATGGAATAAGGGGAGGGGAGCAGAGTGAACCAGAGGGTGCAAGCCCCACTTAAAGGCAGACAAACCTAATTTTTTGTAGATTCCATCCAGCCAAACCAAGTATTCTGGGGGCTCAGCCTCCAGGCTCCTAGATGGTCAGCTCTGGCCGTGCCAGGGAGGAAGGGAAGCAGGAGGGACGGGCAGGGTTGATCCTTAGGATTTTGTATGGCATTCCTAAGAAGTTTGGGCTTTATCCTGAAATTGATGGGGAGCCAGTGACGATTTTTCTTCTTCAGTTAGTCGAGGTTCAGGGTAAGATTTGTGTTCCAGAAGTTCTGTGACAGCCAGGGGGCAGCAGAGCCTCAGGTCAGGGCAGAGGTGGGGGGTAGCTCTGAGATGATGGGGGAGAAGCAACAGCACTGGGTAACCATCGAGATGTTGGGGTGTCAGATTCCCTTCATGCTCCACGGAGGTCCCTGCACACAGCATGGGCCCCAAAGCCACCCCAAACTTTTCATCAAAAATGTAGGGTTACATTCAGATGTAAGAGTTCCGATCAGAACTCATAGCCATCTCTTGGCAGCTGTGTGACCCTAGGCAAGTGGCTTAACCTCTGTGGACCTCTATTTTCTGAAAGATAGAATTAGAATCACAGGGATAACCCACAGGATATTATGAAAGAGAGAGAGAGAGATACATAAAGACAAGCAGAGGCACAGACGAGTGGTTAGGAGTGCCGTTTCTGGGGGTCGGACAGGTTCAAAGCCCACGTCTACCGCTCGCCAGTTATGACTTGGGGGAAGTTACTCCTCTCACGGTGCCTCAGTTTCCCAGGGTTTACCTCACAGGCCTTTTGTGAGGACGAAATGCTCACCCATGGAAACAGGTTGCTGTATAAACAAGTTCATGTATAAACATGAATGCCAACACTGGATAAAGCAGTTGACTGGATTCAAACAGTTGTCAGCCATCCCTGACTAGAGTCCTCTGAAAGACAGTCCCCGTGCCCCCACCTTCCCTGCTTCTTCCCTCCCCTTCTCTTGGCGGCCGTGAGTCAGATCACTTCCATCTGTTACAAAGAGAAACGTGCTGGCAGGTGAGGAATTACAAAGAAGAAAACGTTTCAGGTGGCTTTTAGGACCAGCTGATGGGCAGCCATGATCCCCTGAAGGTCCTGGGAAATATGGGGATGGACGTGGAGGGCCTGGGAGGTGGGGGGTGGTTGTGCAGCCAGCCAGCAATCCCCTCCTTCCAGACAAGAAGGGAGTTCCTCTTGCTGGGGGCTCAGGTTGGAGCACTAGGGAATTTTCTTTGCCTCACGACCATTACTGGAAACGTAAGGACTCAGAAAATACCTGCCCCATCAGTAAACCATTCCTCAGCCCCTAGGATTTCCAACGTTACTGGCCTCACCCCAGGCTGCTGCCCAACGCCAGTTGCTGTATGACTTTTGTAACAGACAGAAGTGATCTGACTCACGGCCGCCAACCAGACCCCCTCCACCCCACACCAGAGTTCCCCTAAGTTCCCATTGGCTCACGTTCTGCGGAAAAGGCCCATTCTGATCCTACAAGGTCCCTGCTCATGCGTCAACTCCAACACACCTGGAATGAGAAATCACCTGCGCGCGTGCGCGCACACACACACACACACACACACACACACACACACACCCAGCTCCCTAGACAGTGGGGAAAAAAGAAATGGGACAGGGCCCCCGGCGAAGGGGCTAGCAAGTAAAATAGAAACACGGGCCTGGCTCCTCCTATTTCACCGGTTGACTTATCAAAACTTTGAGGTTTTCGGTTCTCACTGACAGTCAGAGTGGGCTTTCTCCGGGGTAACCGAAAGACTCGCGTTTAAAGAAACCTCGAGCGCTTCGCACCGAGTTGAGTCAGTGGAGGATGCGTTGGGCCATGAGGAGAGTGTGGTTAGGGCAGAGACACGGCCAGCAGCTCAGGGGTTCCCGGGGCGGTTCAGCCAGAAAGGGGAATGAGAGAGAGGAACTGTGGTGGTGTACAGGGACCCATATTTTCCCCCGGGGCCGCAAACACTCAAGCACAAGCCGGGGACAAAAGGGTGGGCCACGGGTGCCTCCCAAGAAACGGACGGCACAGCTAGGAGGGCAGGTCCAGGGAGACAGCAGAGGCCTGGCTGCCATGCTGGGGCTTGGCAGGGAAGTCCTAAGGATTTAGAAGGAGGGGTCAGCAGGGGGGTACAGCCGAATAATGATTTAGGAACGTGTCTAGCAGTAACATGCAGTACGCCTTGCTTGAGGTGAGAGAAACAGCTGTCTATTCATGTGGCTTGATGCCAGTCCTTTGCCCAGGGACTCCCCCCCCCCCCCCCCCCCCCCCCGCCTTGGGCAGTTAGTCCCTCTGGAGAACATTCCCTGCGATCTGGGTGTCATACTTCAGGACCTCCAGCAGGTGGTGCTGTGACCAAGGACTCGGATTCCCTGGGAATTGCTCCTGCCTCTTGGGAAGCAGGAGCCTCTGCTGGCCTGCAGGTCCCCTAAGGAGCCGCTGAGCACGCTGAGTCTCCCAGAAGGTGTTTAAAGCGGGGTTCCCACCCCTTCCCAGTCCCTGCTTACTGGTCAGCTCTCATCGCACGGGCACCCCCTCGGTTCTGGGCCTGCGCGAGGGGAAAGGGAAGAGGTCCCTGCCCCAAAGACAGGCTGAGGTGTGGGCCAGGTGACTGGATAGATGTCAGCTGAAAGAAGGGGTGCAGGGAGCCCCATGAAACATTCCCATCCAGTCCTGAGAGGCCAGTACATGTCCTGAGAGGCCAGTATATGGAGGGGATACACACACACACACACACACACACACACACCTCCCTCTACCTCCGGGCCTTCCTTGCTTCTGGGAGCAGAAGGAGGAGGCCATTCTGACCCAAGAGTCAAGATCAGTTGAGGCTCAGCCTTGAGGGTTGGTCTGGGCCAGGGTGGACTCTCTGACTCCAGAAGAGGCCCTGAAGAGCCAAGGAAGGGGAGACTGCCCCGCATTCTCATCTGCTCCTTTTGGGGCCTCGCCGTGGGGGAGGGAGAGGAGGTGAGGGCAGCGAGTCCGGGCAGCAGGCCAGGTCGCTCCGAGGCACAATCTGGTTCTGATGTTCTGTTTCGGCAGAAGCAGCGCCGGGAGCTGGTGACGAAAGCTCCACCAGCATCTCTATCTCGCAGCCTCCTTACCAACAAGGAGCCGGCCCTGCACGGCACTAACGCTCTCCTTCCTCCCGCAGGGAAGCCCATGAAGAGCGTGCTGGCCGTGGCGCTGCTGGTCATCTTCCAGGTGCGGTGTCTTCCCTCCTCCACCTCCCTGTCCCCCGCCTGCCCCTCCCTGGTCCAGGGTTCCGGGGGAGCCGCCAGGCATTGACTGGAAGGAAACGGCCCCAGACACCACCCCACGCGCCACGCATGATGGTCACCCCTCTCCCTCTGCTCAGTGACCCAGCCCAGTGGTCAGCAAACTCATTGGTCCACAGAGCCACATATCAACAGCACAACCATGGACATTTCTTCTGAGAGCCACTTGTTTTAAACCTGAACTTCTTCTAATGCCACGTCTCCAACATAGACTCTCCCAGGCCGAGGTATTTTGTGGAAGAGCCACACTCAAGGGGCCAAAGAGCCGCGTGTGGCCGGCGAGCCGCAGTTTGCCGACCACTGCCCTCAACGAGTCTTGACCCCATTTCAATGAGAACCTGAGTCAAAGACGGGACCGCCCCCTTTCCCACCCGCTTCCGATGTCCCCACCCAACAGACAGACATGGAGCTCGCCCAGCTTTGGCTGAGCCCTGAGGGAGCGGGCAGCTTTCTGCAGGTGTGAGTGTTGCACGTATGTGCGCACACCCGGGCACGTGCAGCTTCACGTGTTTCCGTGAGCTGAGCAAAGAGCCTTTGGTGCGGTGGCCTGGTGACTGTCCTCTCACCCCCAGATGCCTCCAGCCCCAACCTCCCTCCAGAGGCTCCCCTAGAAGGCCAGTTCCCTTTTGTGAAATAAGACGCGTCTGCCCTCCGCCGGAGGGGGGCGAGCGAGGGGCCAGGACCCTGGAGCGGGAGCGGGTGGAGGGGCGCACATGCTGGGGGCCTCCAGCTTACAATCCCAGAAGTGGAGGCGGACACCGGCCCCCCTCCATCCATCCAGAGTTAGAAGCAACTGGAGCTCATGCAGTCCACTCTCCCCGCTGTGTGGGGGTGAGGGCTGCCTCAGCAGGGGAGGGGGCAGCTGAGACCAGAGCTGGAGAGGCCCTGCTTCGGAATTGGCGCCACCCCAGGCCTGGAGGGCTGAGGGGCGGCTTTCCAGGCGCTCAGGCCAGAGGCGGGCCCCGCGCTGGGCCCTGTTCCCAAAACCCCAGCCCAGAGGCCCCTGGAGCTTGGGCTGCCTGCCGCCCACAGCCTGGCCCCCTTCCCCGGCCCCACTCCTGCCCCTCCTGCTATCCTGCTTCCAGGATCCAAAGGGGCTGTGTTACCACACGGCAGGCTGGGAGGCGGGGGAGGGGGAGGGGGAGGGACAGCTGGGACTCATTCTTCTCTTTACTTGGCTGCATGGAGGTGGCTCAGATGGGGCAGGAAGTGGTGGGGCTGTGGGCTGCACAGGCCTCAAGCCCATGGGGGAGGTGGGTCGGAAAGGGGGGAAGCGAAGGCAGGGGTTGTGGGGAGCACACTTCACAGGAAGACCCAGAACCCCATGTCCAGGGGTCCCAGACCTAAGGCGGGGTCCCAGAACGTGCAGGTGACGGTGACGATGCCGACGATAGGGACCACACGTTGACGCTATCGCTCTGGGCAACCCCAGGGCAGCGAGACCGTGAGCCCCTTGGCTGAGCTGGGCCGTGTGCCCCTGTCCCCTTCCCCGCAGGTGTGCCTGTGCCAGGATGAGGTCACGGACGATTACATCGGAGAGAACACCACGGTGGACTACACCCAGTTCGAGTCCGTGTGCGACAAGAAGGAAGTGCGGGACTTCAAGGCCTGGTTCCTGCCGGCCATGTACTCCGTCATCTGCTTCGTGGGCCTGGTGGGCAACGCGCTGGTCGTGCTGACCTACATCTACTTCAAGAGGCTCAAGACCATGACGGACACCTACCTGCTCAACCTGGCCATAGCGGATATCCTCTTCCTCCTGACCCTCCCCTTCTGGGCGTACAGCGCGGCCAAGTCCTGGGTCTTCGGCGTCCACTTCTGCAAGTTCATCTTCGGCATCTACAAGATCAGCTTCTTCAGCGGCATGCTCCTGCTGCTCTGCATCAGCATCGACCGCTACGTGGCCATCGTGCAGGCCGTGTCGGCCCACCGGCACCGGGCCCGCGTGCTCCTCATCAGCAAGCTGTCCTGCGTGGGCATCTGGGTCCTGGCCACCGTGCTCTCCGTCCCCGAGATGCTGTACAGCGACATCCTGAGGAGCAGCAGCGAGCAGGCCTTCCGGTGCTCGCTGGTCACCGAGCGGGGGGAGGCCCTGATCGCCATCCAGGTGGCCCAGATGGTGATGGGCTTCCTGATCCCCCTGGTGGCCATGAGCTTCTGCTACCTGGTCATCATCCGCACGCTGCTCCAGGCGCGCAACTTCGAGCGCAACAAGGCCATCAAGGTGATCATCGCCGTGGTGGTGGTCTTCGTGGCCTTCCAGCTGCCCTACAACGGCGTGGTCCTGGCCAAGACCGTGGCCAACGCCAACGCCACCTGCGCGCTCAGCAAGCAGCTCAACATCGCCTACGACATCACCTACAGCCTGGCCAGCGTGCGCTGCTGCGTCAACCCGTTCCTGTACGCCTTCATCGGCGTCAAGTTCCGCCACGACCTCTTCAAGCTCTTCAAGGACCTGGGCTGCCTCAGCCAGGAGCGCCTGCGGCAGTGGTCGTCCTGCAGGCACACCCGCCGCTCCTCCATGAGCGTGGAGGCCGAGACCACCACCACCTTCTCCCCGTAGAGGCCTCTCTGCCTGGACTGGATGGACCTCCCCCACGCCCCCCCCCCCACCCGGGTCGGGGACGGGGAGCAGGTGACCCGACTCAGGACCCAAATGCTGCTGAGGGGGAAAGGGAGTTCTGGCTCTTCAAGGTGTATCTCATGGCGAAAACCCATGCCACCCGAGACAGACGGACAGCGGAAGGCAGGGGCTCGGGCCTAGCTACCTCAACCACGTCGGCAGGGAACGCGGCTGGTGCGCGACCAGCCCCGGCCACACTCTGGCACCAAAGCGGTTACCCCCAAACCAACCACACCCAAAAGCGAACGCGGAGAGAGTTCACACCTCCTGGAGCCCAGGGATCGTCGCTGTGAGAGCCAGGGCAGTGCGAGGGCCCAGGAGCCCTCCGAGTGAACCTTTCCGGGCCTGGGCCAGGTCTTCCAGAAAACAAGACGGTGTGTCCAAGGCCAGAGGCGATGGGGAAATGTCTTGGCTGGGCAAGGAACGGGAGATGCCAGCGAACCCTCTGCATCCCTCCCTCCTCTCTCTTTTTCCACTGTCGTCGGAGCCAGCAAGAAATGGCAGCCTCCGGCTTCCCCAAAAGCACGCTCCCTCTATCCGGGGGCGGCCGCCCCCCAGGCTCTCCGCGGGGAGAGGCGTGGCGGTTCCCACAGGCCAAGCCCGCGGCCTCCACCCGGCTCTGGGGCGGGATGACGCAAGGCCAGACCTTCTCGGGTGTCTCGGCTCTGCGAGGAGGAAGGACGGGGCCAAGAGCAAGGCGAGGGGCCGGGGCCGGGGGGACGGTGCCGGCTGCCAGGAGGCCAGCGCGCTGCTGCTCTGTTCTCTGTCCCGGAGACAAAGCACTGTCGTCCTGTTCTGCTTTCAATCCACGGAGAGAGCACATTCTACTCAAATAAACATTTTTCCCCTCGGGGGAACAAAGCTTTAAGAGAAAGGGGGAACGTTTTCTCTTTTTGGGGGGTAAATGGCAGATGAGTGTGTTGTTTTTGCAAACCCCCACGCCCCACCGGACCTCCCCCCACCCCCACTTCCCTCGTCCCCTTTCCTCCCTTCCCCTCCCGCCTTCATTCCGCAGAGCTGCTCAGAGCCAGGTCTGAGCTGGGTAGGCTCCGAGCCATCCAATGACAGGGCCCCCGGGGCGGAGAGGTGAGAGGACAGGGGGTGCAGGCGGCGTGGCGTCTGGCGGACAGCCCTCCAGAGATCACGGGACAGGGATGAAGCGTCCTGTGGCCAGCACTGACCCGAGACATGGGTCTGAGCAGAGCTTTGGGGAGGAGAACCAGGTTGTCCCTTTCACCTCGGTGGCGGGGAACTCACTGACCCTCAGCAGCATGTGGATGTGAAAACTGGGCTGTCCCAGAGCAGCCTGGAGCTGCTGCCCCGAGCCTGGTCAGTCCCTCGGGCTCCAGAACTGGTGTTTGGAGGGAGGGCCACCCCTGGGCACGGAGAGCACAGCACTTGGAGGAAGGGGGCTCGGGATGGCCCATAGCAGAGGCTGCACCTTTGGCTGGATGCTGGAGAGCCAGGTCTGCCCATCACCCTCCGCTCTGGCTGCTGCTGCAGCAATGGCCTTCCCTCATCATGGAGGGGGGGGTGGGCGGGGGGGGGGCAGGAGCAGCCACAGCCCACCGGGCCCAGTCTCCCTCTTCCTGGGTGCCCTGCTGTCTGCCCCACACTCTGATTTCTTCAAACCAGAGAGGTTAGTCCCTCCTATGGTGGGTGAGGAGGCTTCGGAAGGGCCCAGCACTGTAACAGCTCGGGGGGCCAGGAGGGGCAGGGGCTGAACATTCACACTAAAGGTGACTCCGCCAGTTTTCCGGAGCGCAATGGAGCCTGCCAGGTCACGAAGCCCCTTCTCCAACCTCATGAGCACATCGCATTGCCCTCCTCTGAGGGGCGCGCTGGCCACGACTTGTCAAACGGGCTCCCAGCCGGGACCCGGCGCCCTGGGAAGAATGAGCCTGGCACAGCCGCAGGTGGGGGGGGGGGTGCAGTAAGGGGGGAGGCAGTGATCCAGCCCTGCAGCAGCACTAAATGTTAAAGATGCAACTGCGTGCGTGCAAGCGAGCGGGGGCGAGGGGTGATCCTAACGGGTGTGTACATCCCGGTGAGGTTACGGTGGGAAAAGGCCTTCGTTCCTGAAGGCAGGAGGGTAACGAGCGGTCGTGGACAGGAAGCCAGGCCGACCGCACAAACAGGCCACCTCGGCTCCAAACACTCTTTTCTAAAATAACCGGACATCTCCAAGTATTTGCAAAGACAACAAAACACCCACCAGCGTGAATGCCCCAGCGGCTGGCCTTCTCGCCGTGGCTGGTTGCTGGCCTGGCCCTGCTCCCTTGCCCAACGCTCTCATATACCTCCCCTGAGCTTCGGGGGGGCCCTGGGAAGAGGAACCAGATTCACTGTGGAACCCCCACCACCTCCCAGGGCCTCCCCACCCCCCACCCCCCACCCCTCCTGTCTCTCTCTCTGCTTGCTTCATGTACTGCCCGTGTCCCCAGGTTCATGGCCCACACAGCCCCTCCGCCTCTCCTGCAGCTTTCCCCTTCTCCCCATCGCCGGCCCCGGGGCCCTCATCCTCCCTGGCCACAGCCCCAGGCCACAGATCGGTCATTTCAGCCATAAGCACCGCCCTTCACAAAGCATGGACGCCCAGAGCTGCGAGGGGCTCACAGACCTGCTGGTCCACCGCCCAGCCCTTCTCTGGGCGGGGACCCGGAGGCCCAGAGGGAGGAACTGGCTTGCTTAAAGAGACAGCGCCATGCTGGGGTGTTGGATAAACTTGCTTGGGGACCCGGGGCTCTAGCAGGCCTCGGGAGGGGGGTGGGGGAGAGCAGGGGCTCTGGGGCCTGGCCTTCCTCGGTGGCTCCACTGCCAGAGTCTCAGATTTCTCCGCTGCGAAATGGGGAGGATTTGGCCAGCGTGGCGCACAGGCCCTGGGATGCGGGGGGGAGCGGATGGTGGGGAGCAGGCTGGGGCCGGGCTGCCTGGTTGGAATCACAGCCGCAGGGCTGGGGCTGCTTCCTCAGCCTCTCTGATCCTCGGTCTCCTCGTCTGTGTAACGGGGATCACCGCAGTCCCTACGTCCCAGGGTCGTGGTGAGGGGGAAACATCTCTGTATGCAAAATGCTTAGGAATTCTTATGAAGGTGTGGCTGATCGTCACCGAGGTGTTTAATAAGTGGTAGCTAAAAAACACACACACACACACACAAAAAAAACACACACACACAAATCCAGAAAGAAAAAAAAAAAAAACAGATGCTAACCGCAAGGAAACCGAAATCAACTCCTTAGCCCCATTCTGCCCCCCCCCCCACTCCACCCCCCATACGCTTTGTAAGTCAAGCTGGAGGGCAACTTTGGGTGAGTTCATCTGTCCTTCCCTCTGTCCTTCCCTCCGACCGTGCTGGTGAGTCCATGAGGCCCAGAGAGGGGACGTGCTCACCTGCGGCCTCTCAGGAGCTTGCGGCAAAACCAGAGCCTGGACCCAGGCTGCGGGCTCCCATCCAGCACCCTCCCCCCCAGACCTCCTCACTCAATGGCTCCCCCCCTGGCATCCACCCGCATCCGGCTCTTCCCTGGCAGGCTCCGCCCCGCTGGTCCTGTGGCCAGGCCCCCCTCCCCCTTACCCAGTCCCCATCCTCGCCATGGGGGGTGGGGTGAGAGAACCAAGTGCAGTGGGTGTGTGGAGATCCGGCAGCTGGCATTTTAAAGGAAAGATCCTCCCTGGGACGTGGGTTCTCTGTTGCGTTTCTGTGTTGAGGATGAAGTGTCGGAGGCAGAATCCACAGGCCCACAGGGGTGACCGGGTGGGGGTTAAGGCAGAAGAGATGGGGAGCAGGGAGCAATTCTGAGTGGGAAGCAGAAGGCAGGGGGAGGGGAGGCAGGGCTGGTTACTAGGGTCTACAGGCTGGGCTGGACTGGGAGAACATTCCAGAAAAGATGCCCTCACCTGCAAGCACACGCACCGCTGCCAGGGCCCCCCAGGCCCAGGTGGAGAGCGGAGCTGTATTATCCCAGAGACAGGCGGGCCCGTGGCCTTCTTTGCGGAGAAGGGGCTCGGTTTCCCTCATCTGAGCTCCCAGAAAAACCCGGGAGGACAGGGAAAGGGGGTGAGCCCCTTGTCCACTCAAAAGGTCCACCTGCCAGCCCCCCCCAGTCCTCGCCCCCAGGGGTGCAGCGGGGAGAAGCAGCCTCGTTACCCATAACCCCACCGCTGCCCCTGCACTGTCTGTCTTGGGCCCAGAAAGAGACACAGACCAGGGATCCGAAGCCCCTTACTCACCAGCCAGAGCAGCCCTAGACCCGTGGTTGGCAAACTGCGGCTCGCGAGCCACATGAGGCTCTTTGGCCCCTTGAGTGTGGCTCTTGCACAAAATACCACGGCCTGGGCGAGTCTATGTTGCAGAAGTGGCGTTAGAAGAAGTTTAAGTGTAAACAATTGGGCTCTCCAAAGAAATGCCAGTGGTCGTCCTGTTGATATTTGGCTCTGTTGGCTAATGAGTTTGCCGACCACTGGCCTAGACTAATGCAAGGCAACCGGCCCCACATGAAATCAGAAATGAGGGGACGTGAGTGTTCCCACAGCGCCTCTGTGTGTGAGCACGCAGCCCGACCCAGACCTCCCTGCCGCTGCCAGCCCCTCCCCACCCCTTGCCTTCGCTCTGAGGACGGCCACAGCCTTGTTTTTATCTATTGTTCATTAACCCCCAGGAATGCACTTGCTGGGCTGTTCCACGGGTCGCGGTGACCGCTCCACGGTCCGGCCTCCGCGTTCCCGTCTCTGTGTAAATAAACATCTCCCACGTGAGGAGCACGGCGCAGGCGGGGGTCAGGCTTTGCCCGGCTCTGACCAGCTCCGTTCCCGGATGGTGCAATAGGTCCCGGGGTCAGACCTCCACGCCCCGGTCCTGGCCAGAGAGGAAATAGGACTTGCATCTTCTGGGGCCTGTGTCAGAGCCTGCTCAGGCTGGAACGGTTTACATTTGTTCTAAG